AGACGTTCGTTGATCCTCTGCATCACTCGCTGTACAACCCAGTCTCCATCTACTCGCATGCGTTACAAACTGGAAGCCAGTAACGGTAGAACCTTTTGTCTTGTAGTCTTCCCTTTTGAAACCTATTAAATTGTGTTAGAAGTCTTATTTTTGTTTGTTTGTTTTCCTCCTTACACGTTCCTCTCAAGCTCACAGTTTAGACTGGGAGCAGATACAGATATTTTTTTTTCCCCCTAATAGTTACTATGTCAGTGTTTTCCCAAATGGAAAAAATATTTTTATGTTAAAATTTAACTACGTGAAAAGTTACATGAAAGCCTGTAACACTTAATGTAGAACAACAGCCTCGAATGGAACCAATTAAAGCAAAATAATGGGTTTGTGTTATCACTCAGCGTTGTTCAGCATGGTGAACTTCTGATAGTAGAGTGGGCTGGGTGTTTTCACCTGCCTGTGCTTTCCATCAGAGCTGAAGTTAACCCCAAAACCACAGACTGAGGAAGCCTGACCTTTCGAGGGCCTCACAAGAGGTCTGAGGTGCTCTTCTGTTTAGCAAATTGATTTGCAGGAAGTCCAATTTTTTCATTGCTTGCAATGTTGTAATGTTTGGGTTTTGTGTTTTTTTTTTGTGTATTTTTTTTAATTTTAATTTTTTATTTTTAAATGCAAGGTTTTATGTTTCCAGCATTCCGCTGGAAACTGTGTTCTCCCAGTTTTGGTCATTTGTTTGATGGACCCAAAAGTACGTGTAGTCACTGTTCATGTGATAAAGTTTATGTACCTAAGCGCTCGTAGGTTTGAAGCATGAATTGCAACCATTTTAGCTTTTAATGGTTCGGAAAATTCAAACAAAATCTCACGTCAGAAGTGATGTTATTGGTGAGGAACGGTGCAACCTGTGCAACACCAATTACACGTTTTAGTTTTTAAGTAAAATTCCAGTAAGGTGTATTCACAAATTGCTCTTTTTTTCTCCCTAGATTTATTTACATAAATGATTTTTCATTTTTGCAACCTTCCTGTTTGGGTCAAAAAATGATTACTTTTCATACAGTTCTGAAATGATGTTGTTAGTAACCTTGCAATGGTTTTGTACTAACATGTAATTTTTATGTAATGCTTCACAACGCGAAGACTTGCATAAAATACTTCTCTTGCCAATGCCACCTGCTTTTGGTAAATGTGGAAATGTGACTAGGGAAGGCAGGATACTAGATGATCTGCAGCAAATTAGTAGCCGGATGAGAATTTGGAGTATCAAGGCTCGTTTGGCAGAGCAGTATATGTTTGTTGACAAGTTACAGCACTGCTCATGTAGAAATAATTCTGTCTCCAGAGAAAAGAGGATCAAGAGCCATGGGAAAACGTCTGCTTTTTGGTTCACTATAGGTTGGTGAGGATCACAGGCGAAAGACTCTGGTCTGCAAAGCTCCGAATCAAACACGTAATAAATGAATCAGCTGTGACTTCTACTACCCTCTTGCCATGCTTGAATTCCTTATGGATTATTATGCCAACCAGCATTAACAGCGTGAGATCCTCTGTCTCGCTGAGGGTAGTAAACCTGCCGTGCAAGTAGGAACCGAATTCTTCTGGGTTCAGAAGCGACAGCACACTGTGCTGCGTTTAACTTGCAAATTTTGTGTGAACTCCGTAAAAACGCCCTGTTTGCTCTCTGATGTGAAAAGAGGCTGTTGTGCAAGGTCCTGTCCTGCGTTGGGTGGGCTGGTTTAATGATTGTCTTTGGCTGAAGAGCCCTGTCTGCTTTCAAGGCATTTGTATGTTTGCTCTTCATGAAGGGCTTTTTGGATTCTGCGTTAAAACCATTGGCCACACATCGCAGAAAATGGTGGCTCAAGTCAAGCTTTTAAATTAATGGCCCAGCTCTTAAAAACGCTGAGTATTCAATATTTATCAGTTCTGGCTTGTTCTGTCTTTAAAATACTTACCCTTTCAGACAGTCATTTAGGAGAGGGAGGGGGAAAAAAGATCATTTTATAATTTGTTATGTAGTTGATGGCAAGGGTTTAAATGCTGCTGGTCCGTAGTGCTTTGGTGGTGTTATTGCCCATTAACCCTCGTTTGGAACGGTGACAGGACTAGGGTGTGCTGTCCCTGGGGCAGCTGCTGCTTTCTCACCTGTGATATTTAACTGATGGTGAGCAGTTGATGTGCTTTAATTTCACAGCTAAAATTTAAATCGACTTTTTTCCTGGGGAACGGCGTTTCATGGTTTGACAATTGTCGGATGCTTCGAACTCTGCTTGTTAAACTTCCTGAGATGAGAAACATACTCCCTAAGTAAAGGGTTACGCAGCTGGAGAATCTAACTGGGATACTTCCACTTTCTCTAAAATAGGGTTTGTAATTAGTGGAACAATTTGACTGCAAGCCAGTTTGAACAGCCTGGCTTAATCTAAATAAAACCCAAATGCTTTGAATGAGTTTTGTCTCCCTTTTCCCAAATCAGGCTTTAATAAATAAATAATGAGATGCAAAAAGCTCAAAATAGTACCGCAGAGCTCTTGGCAGGCAAGAAAGCATCTGTTTCTGTAGGTGGGACGAAGGGGAAAAACAAGTTGGATCTCGATCCTTGTCTTGCTTGGCCTTGCAGAGGTCTGCAGTGACAAGCTCTCCATCGTCCCAGACCTCATCCCGACCTGTGATGCACCTGAGAGCTAAGCATCCCTTTTCCATCTGCTTTTCTCTGAAAGTCGTTTGCTTTTTGAGGTTGCAGCTCTGTATTCAAGTATAAAAGGGCTCTGGCATGACCTGGACTATGGGAACCCCACTCAGTCAAGGGTTTTGTGGTCCTGATACTCAGGTTGCTCAGAGATGCTCTGACATTGGGCATCTTGAGTTTTAAGATTTCCAAGAAAAGATTGTGCCGCCGTCATTTTTATGGTTTTATTGGGCATTTTGTGCACATAGTGCTGGTTGATCAGAAGCTCAACATGAGCCAGCAATGTGCGCTGGCAGCCCAGAAAGCCAACTATGTCCTGGGCTGCACCCAAAGCAGCGTGGCCAGCGGTTCGAGGGAGGGGATTCTGCCCCTCTGCTCTCCTGGGACTTTACCTGGAACACTGTGTTCAGCTCTGGGGTCCCCAATACAAGAAGGACATGGAGCTGCTCGAGCAGGTCCAGAGGAGGGCCACGAAGATGATCCGAGGGCTGGAGCACCTCTGCTATGCAGACAGGCTGAGAGAGTTGGGGCCATTCAGCTTGGAAAAGAGAAGACTCAGGGGAGACCTTCCAGCAGCCTTCCAGTACCTAAAGGGGCTACAAGAAAGCTGGAGAGGGTCTTTGGATAAGGGTGTGTAGTGACAGGACACAGGGCAATGGCTTTGAACTGAAAGAGGGGAGATTTCGATTAGATCTAAGGAACAAATTCTTCCCTTTGAGGGTGGTGAGGCACTGGACCAGGTTTCCCAGAGAAGCTGTGGCTGCCCCATCCCTGGAAGTGTTCAAGGCCAGGTTGGATGAGGCTTTGAGTAACCTGGTGTCGTGGAGGGTGTCCCTGCCCACGGCAGGGAGGTTGGAACTAGATGATAGAATCATAGAATCATAGAATGGTTAGGGTTGGAAGGGACCTCAAAGATCATCTAGATCATGATCCTTAAGGTCCCTTCCAATCCGAACCATTCTATGATTTTGAAAGCACTGCGTATGAGGATTTTGGAGACCATAGTTAAAAAGTTTGTGGGATCCGTTATGAAACTTCTTCACTGTATCAGCAGTGACTGCAAGTACCAAGTCTGTTAGATACATCCGACTGCCTTTAAACTTAAAAAGGCACCATCCAAGTGAGATTTTATTTATACCTTTGCACAGATAGTTTGAGCATAAGAACAAAACGATTCCTGAAAACTGTTACATTCAGTGACTGGTACCTTTATATTTTTCATGTGTCAAAGAGGAATTTATTACCGTGATTGCTTTACTTCTTATGCCTTGTTCCATAAATTACCTCTGACAGATTAATTTAAAGCACAGTAGATGAGAGGAAGTTACTGACCTTATGATTCATTGATACCTCTGTGGTTAGGTCTGGAAAGTATTCAGCTTGAAATTTCCTCCTTGTAATAACGTGAAGTTTGGTATTTATTGTGTTAAGTGGCAGAAATGAGTACTAAGACACCAAGATTGCCCTCAATGCTATGCCTGTGAGCATTCATCAGCCCGATAGCAGGGCAGAGGGCTGCTTTGAACCAGGAATAATAGTATAGTCAAGAGTAAAACAGCCTCGTAGATGCACAAGTCACATCAACACCTTGAAATCCTTCCTACGGACGCAGAGCATGGCCGGGCGGATAATGCAGCAGTGTTTGAGCGTGCCGGAGGGAAGCACTCGATGTGAAGTGGGTTATTGCTTTTTGCTCCAAAGGACTCCACGTGAGTTGTTCTCTTAATCCTTCATAATAAGGTACATTAAAGTGTCACGTCTTGGTTTCAGCAATTTTAAGGCAGGAATGAACTTTTTATTACAGGGCTTAAAGGTATTTACTGTATGTGGATGGTGTTTCTCTTACAAGAAATGTTTTGAGGCATCTTAGTTATGAATAGAGGTAACTAAATGAAAGTGCAAGAAGCTAACTGAGAAACTGGAACGAGGCAAAACCTTTTCCTTTCCTGTTTTTCTTAATTAAAAAAAAAAAATTGACAGAGGAAAATTTTGTATAGAATTCCTTGATAGTGCAAATGTGCTTTTCCTATGGATGTTACCAGAGTGAAGAAAGAATTTGTGATGACTAAATTCTAAATAAGGAGGCGGGATGTTTTTTTTTTTGAGATGGTTAGTTGAGAGGTGGCCTGTAAATCATGCTCAGCTTGGTAGAGAAGCGAGGGGTTATCTCAAAACTTTGCATAAGTAGCATTGAGCCGCTGTCTTTGTTTTTGTTGTTACAAATCTGTTGGGAGCAGATGGAATTTCATTTTTTCCCCGCTACTGTCCAAGAATAACTCCTTTCTAAATTATCTGAGAGGCAATGCAAAAGGTGCATATGGCAGACGTGGAGATGGAAGCGATGATTTTTGCAGCTACGCCTTCCCTTGGGGAATTTGGCTCTATGCTGGACAGCTTCAAGCTCTGCAGACCCGCTGCTCCGGAGCACCCGCAGCCGCTCCTGCCCTTGAAGGACGCCCACGACGGTGTTATTTTCTGGATTGATCCTGATGTTTGTTAAGTAGTTTATCTGTTGGAGTTGTGGTGAGTTTTTTTGGGGATTTTTTTTTTTTTTTTTTTTAAAAGGAAAGATTCCTTTGCTCTGTAGTGATAATCAAGAGAGTGGTACGTTTGACGCTGCTGTACTACCAGAAAAGAGGAAAAAAAACCTCCAACACGTATCCATATCTACCTCCGCAACTGAGGAATCAGTAGGCTGGTGGTTGTGACCTTCCCCTCACCGCTGAGTTATTTCATAGACAAACACCCAAGAGCTACTTACTGTGTGAAGAAATGCGAACAGATCTTGGGTTATAAAGATATTGTAGTGAGCCTGTTGCTAAGGCGGCATTGACACAAACCATAAATTCTGCATTATGTGCCAATGAGTGCGTTGTTGCCAAATTTTCAATGTTTATTCCAAAAATAAAATGGTTTCTCATAGTCTTTGCTGGATTGAAATACACTTGAAAATGTCTATTCTTTGGAAGGATTTTTTTTTTTTTAAAGTGAGTTTTCTTGTTGTTTCTTCCATACTGGTAAGGAAGCGAGACTCAGTGTTTTAATAGCCAAGAATCTGTCTTGGTGGGTTAGGAAATATCTGATACGGATTGTAAAATTTATTGTGCAGACGCGTTTAATAAAGCGTAGCGGTTTATAGTGGCTAAACCCACCCCTTTTCCTAAGGGATTTATACTCGCTGGTCACAGCAAGACTGACAAACACACTCTGGTATTTGAAAATCACGCCAGCTCTTCACCTCCTTGAGTTCAGAGCTGTTGGGTTACTGGATGTCTTCCACATTTGGTTTGTTTTCTCAGGCTCTTAAATAAACATTGGGGTGGTTTAAATGGCATGAGTTCACTTCGTTCCGGCAAGAAGCTGGTGGAAAAGCTTAGGCTAGCTAGTGGAGTAAGCTGAGCGTGGTTACACCGATCTGTGCCAGCAGCAGAAAGTTTTCATTTTAAGGATTAAAATGATTTAACCAAATCTGCATGAAGCCTGGCCTTTTCTTCATTCACTAAACTGGGATACTGGCTCCGTATTTGGGTGTAAACTGGAGCAGGTGTCTTCCCATCTCGTATGGCATCGTATCAAAAACTGTATTTCCTTATGGTGGCGACTAAACGAAGGATTCGTCGAGCGTCTGTAGAGTTCATCGAATTTGTGGGCTCCATCAGAGGAATTTCACCAGTCGTTTAACGACTTCTAATAAAAATCTGCGCACCGGAGGGTTTGGGTAGGTGGGTTTTTACGCTCGCCGAACGTATGGCTGCATCACGCTGACCTGGAGCATCAGCACTGCTGGTGCCGAGTGGAACGTACAGGTGGGTGTTAATATATAGGTGTGTGTTTCGAGAGCGAATTAATTCTTGAGGAGCCTTACAGTTCAAGTCTTTTTCGTTTGCCATCTTAATGCCAGGTTTTTTCATGTTGGTATGTAACCTATTTGGGTAGCAGTTGGGGGGCGTATCATGTAGACGAGCCCAGCACACTGCTGCAGCAGAAGCACGAGAGGAGTGAGAACACATAGCTCTACGAGCGCTCGGTGTTTGCATTTTTAGTGTGTGAACGTAGTCCTGCCTAAACTCGAGTCATCTGGATTTTTCTTTATTTTTGAGTTTTGTTCCACTTAACAAAGGGGAACTTCTCAGGGAAGCTGTTACATCTGCCTTGATTAAATACTTGAAGTATTCAATATTTAGCTCCTTTTTTTCTACTTGATGCGAAATTGCTTTCATTAAAAATGAGTCATTTTGGGAAAATACCACTCATGCTTTTTTGCATAGGGTTGCAAATCTTTCTGTTTTCTTGCTATGGTGAAGAATCTAGCACAGCACAGCAGTCCATGGGATAGAGGAACAGCTGGCTTAAAATAGAAGATGTAAGGGGAGGGGAAAAGGAATACTAAGTGTTTATGGAAGGTGATTACAATTCTGTACCAATATGTATGTGGAAACGAGAAGTCCCTGTAAAACCAGAAATAAGAAAAGAAAGCTTTTTGTTCCCATCTTTTTCTCTCCTGGATATTGGCAGTCTTAAGATAAATGTTGTGTATTCATGTTCTGAAGGTAGGTGCTGGTTACCAGTTGCTTCTGCAGGTGCTGAAAGATGTTCAGCGGGAGGGGAACAGAGCTGGAAACAAAGAGCAGACTCCGCGGGCAGGAATCACCAGTGAGCTGGGTGCACCCCTGTGAGGTGTGAGCCAGCCGTCGTCGTCCCCGGTTGAATGAGCGTTCGTAATTTTTCAGCTGTGCATGCGGGAGGGACTGTTAGGAAGGAGAGCTCATGTGGCTGGAGAGATATGTCTGGGAGCAGAATTCGCTGAAATGAGGTGCAGAACGGAATATTTCAATCAGATTTTAGAAGATTGTACAGATGGAAAAGGTTGAGTTCTTTTTGTTATTGGTGCTCTGTGATCTTCTCACCTCCTCCCAGTTAATTCCTCCTCTGTCCCGTCCTTAAAGCCAAATAATATTTACTTGTCTTTCGTTCTTTGAGGTGACACGCGTAAGCAGAAAGATATTTTGGGGGCGGACAATATATCCTTGTGTGATGTGAACATGTATCCTTTATTCCTAGAGGACCACACTTGTCTCGTTCTCACAAGTTTAAATTTAATGTTCAGTGCTTACGAGGACTTCTATGGATATTACGTTATTCGTACCAGTGGCATCCTTGAGAGCAGCTTCCTTAATAGCATATTTATCAAGGTATAATTAGATTACTATGTTGTCTGAAAGTCTGTTTTATTAATAAATATAATATTTTCTTCCAAGTTTGGTTTTGGATGCTTAGTTGTCAAATGCTGCATTGATATGTCACCGGTGTCAGGAAGCAGAATAAGGAACTGTGCCACTCGTTGCATTTTATTGGATGTAGGAGCTCTTGTAAATATTCAGTAAAAACTATTGCAGCAACAAATCCATGTAAACAAACCCGGGCTGCCCGAAACACACGTTCCAGCCTGGATTTATCTTTACATATTGATTCTGTGCTCTTTGCATGACCTTCTTTGTGTTGCTTCGGCTAGAAACCTGCTGAAAAATGTTATAGATTGTCATTCTGTAGGTTCACAAAACCCTGTCTGGGTCTTGAGACATACTTTATTATAATATTTATTATTTTTTGTTGGAGCGGGTCCAGAGGAGGCCACGAAGACGATCTGAGGGCTGGAGCACCTCTGCTATGGAGGCAGGCTGAGAGAGTTGGGGTTGTTCAGCCTGGAGAAGAGAAGGCTCTGGGGAGACCTTCCAGCAGCCTTCCAGTACCTAAAGGGGCTACGAAAAATCTGGAGAGGGGCTTTGAACAAGAGCATGGAGTGACAGGATAAGGGGCAATGGCTTTAGACTGAAAGAGGGGAGATTTAGATTAGATCTAAAGAAGAAATTTTTTACTCTGAGAGTGATGAGGCACTGGACCAGGTTTCCCAGAGAAGTTGTGGCTGCCCCATCCCTGGAAGTGTTCAAGGCCAGGTTGGATGAGGCTTTGAGCAACCTGGTGTAGTGGAAGGTGTCCCTGCCCACAGCAGGGAGGTTGGAACTGGATGATCTTGAAGGTCCCTTCCAACTCAAATCATTCTATGATTCAATGCTTTACACCTGAGAATGTGTGTCAAAATTCTTTTTTTCTGGTTGGGACCAAGTGGAAGTTAAACTTTATACCAAGCTGTTTTCTAACAATTTTTTTTTTTTACTTTTAGGAACAATTTTCCCAGCAGGTAACACTGATATGTAGTAGCTTAGAAATTTTTGAATGTCAGGCAGGAAATAAAAGAAATTATTTCTATCCCTATTAGGAAAGTGGGTCAGGCTGTGATATTTATTTATAGGATGTCTCAGTATTTTCAGTTTCCTTTTTTTGCTGCAAAACCAACTGATTTTTGGCTTGAGCTTTTCTGTAAATGCTGCTGGCAGGTGCCACGCTCTACATTTGGCCTAGAAATCGGCAGTGACGGAGGGGGGCTAGTTTGCAGCTAGGCTGGACTTTAAACGTGCTTCCTGAGGGTTCAGATGGAGTATTTTAGGGGCAATGGTCAGGAAGAATTGGGCAGCTGTTTCATAGGTAGTGTTGGAAAGGGGAAGGGATTGCTGCTGCTGATTTTACTTTCCTTGTGAAGACTTGGGTTTCTGCGTATGTCTTAGCAAAGTGCAGCAGGACGATGGTCCACTGCTCCGTGGGGGAGGGCCTTAAAACTCCATTTATTTCTTTACTTCCAGCCACCTTCCTGCTGGCAGGAAGGTTAAGTTGGCACCTCAGCCTCGTTTCATTCGCAATACAGCACCGGTCCCACCGGTGAACGCTTTTGCCTGGGTTTAAAGGTAGGACTGGTAACTTGAAAGCTCATCAGAGTAAAGTGCTCTTCAACTGGAGGAGAATATTGACGTGTCTGTCAATTCTGAGCATGTGCTTTAAAAATTTTAATTACAATGCCTTATTTACAAGGTACACAGGTGCGGTGTACTGCAATTTAAATGCTTGTACATATACTTAAGATACGTTTTTGACTAATTGAATGTTTCTAATTTTGGGAAAGTGCTGAAAAATCATCCAACAGACCTCGTGTGCTATTTGCAATTGAGAGTGAATCACAATTAACTTTTCAAACAGAAGGGAGGGCAGAATAATGAGTGAAAAGATGTTGACTGCTAGAAAATTGGATTCAAATTGCTGGAATCAGAAGTGCGTCTTGAAATGGTCTAAAATAGCTCATTTGTAAAAAAAAAAAAAAAGGTTTTTTTTTGGTAGATTATTACACCTTCGAGCTAGCAAGATCTGGAAAAAAATTGGCTAGATATGTGTGAAGTTAGTTTAAGGTTCTGCGTAGACCAAATATGTGTGTAGATCCTTTTCTGTTAAAGTTACACTGATTGTATTTTACCCCAGTATGAGTTGGAAACCTTGCACATATCAATACAGATGATGCAAGCAGAAATTACTAAACTAGAATGTTGTGTAGAATTGGTTATATTTTTAGTTTCTAACCAGAATTTAAGTAGTGCAACACTGTATTTTTTAAAAAGGGAAAATACCACCCTCCAGAATGGGTTTATGAATTTAAATAATAAAGGATTCTACCCTCACCCCCTCTAGAAAAGTAAACAAAACCTTAATGATTGCCGCTAAAGCTTGGTAAATGCGAACTGGAACTTGGACACAAATTAAGAAAAAATAAATAAATGAGAAGGTTTTTTAGTGTTTCTGAGTATATTCAGAAAAAATATTTTTTTCTTAGAAGATATACTTTATTTAAGCATAGGTTATAATGTATGTCATATATTACTTGAAGTCAGGCTGGATCATCTAATGCAATGAATTGGTTTTTGATCTTTCAGTGGTAGACCTTGATGGGACCTCTCTGGCTCTGGAGATCTTTCGTCATTAACCTTTGATGATTCTCTTTGACGATCACAATAATGTGCTTTCTCCTTCCTTCTGTCTGGCAGCGTGTTGAGTTTTGGGTGATGCTGAGGGAATTCGCGTGGGGTGAGACTGTTTGCAAGGGCTCTTGGCCA